TTCTCAATTGTGTCCAAGACCCAGATTTCAAAAAATAACCACCAGCATTGAGAAAGCATTCATGACAAAAAATGTGCTTCTTCTGCTGCTTCTTTTTTTTACTTCAGAGAGGAAGGGAGAGGGAGAGAGAGAGAAACATCAATGATGAGAGACAATCATTGATCACCTGCCTCCTCCATGCCCCCTACTGGGCATCCAGCCCAGAAACCCGGGCATGTGCCCTGACCAGGAATGGAAATGTGACCTTCTGGTTCATAGGTTAACACTCAACCACACTCAACCAGTGAGTCACACTGGCTGGGCAATAATTGCTATTTTTTCTTCTTCATGCACAAGGGCTCAACAAGTTCTTACTGAAATTTCAGAAAAAATTTTGAGTCAAGAGTGATGTGACAAAAAAAATAAGTCAGGTCCTAGCCAGTTTGACTCAGTGGATAGAGGGTCGGCCGACACACAAAAGGGTGCCAGGTTTGATTCTGATCAAGGGCACATGCCCAAGTTGTGGGCTTGATCCCCAGTAGGGGGCAGCGTCAATCAATGATTCTCTCTCATTGATGTTTCTCTCCTTTCCTCTCTGAAATCAATAAAAATTTATTTAAAAAATAACAAATAAGTCAGTTACAGTTCTAATCATGTCTTTTCTCAATTTGGGCGCTACAGTATAGGAATCAAGATTTGCAGTGATTGCCAAAACTGGTTCGGCTCGGTGGATAGAGCGTCAGCCTGCACTACATAAGCAGACCCAAAGTGCATAAAAATAGTTCTATATATTTCAAAGACTATACAAAATAAGTTGCCTTTCATAACTTAATTCCTTGTCATGGATATATCCATGCCAGACTGGAGAAAGACATATATAACGAGGAAGAGAACTTACTGCAACAAGGGGCGTTAATTTACCTAATGCTGACACCTAGAACCAAGAAATGGCAAATATGACGTGCATAAGCATACCTGCTCAAGTACACACACAAGAATCCCCCACTAGTTTCCCCTCAAATACCAAGGACCAATGATGCGTGACTTACTCACACTGTGCCTTATATATGTAGAACAGACAGTAAAAAAAAAAAAAGCTCCATTATTCTTTTTTAAAAAGTGAAACACATCTGTCCATATATTCCAAATCTTTTGCTACATCTAAAAATATGAACTTCTAATACAACAATAAAAAGGTCACAAGAAGCCCTTGCTGGTTTGGCTCAGTGGATAGAGCGTTGGCCTCTGGACTCAGGGATCCTGGGTTCGATTCCGATCAAGGGCACATGCCTGGGTTTCAGGCTCGATCCCCAGTAAGGGGTGTGCTGGAGGAAGCCAATCAATGATTCTCTCTCATCATTGATGTTTCTATCTCTCTCTCCCTCTCCCTTCCTCTCTGAAATCAATAAAAATATATATTAAAAAAAAAAAAAGCCACAAGAACTCCATGATGCAGAATAACAAGGTACATTCAATTTTCCACAAAATCCATCAGCCTACTCTAAATGCCTTGATCAAAACCCAGTGTTTCTAAAGAAAGTTTTTCATAATTTGCTAAATATTTGATCAAAGCACCATTAATGTCAATCTTGTTTCATAAATTCTCTGGGCTTCAATGGCCCAAGAGCTGATTTAATTCACCTGACTCCACATAGTAGCATGCCTAAGCCACTGAACAGCGAGAATTATCTACAGCAGAATTTCAACAAGAGCTGGGTGCTGGCTGACTAGAAGAACCACTTGGGAAGACAGGTTAAAAAATATCCCTGAGTCTCACACTCCAAATCAAAATTTCTGGAGGGAGCTTGAAAACATACTAACAAATTCCTTAAGTGCTTTGGATAATCCAAGTTTGGGAACCACCAATTTGTATACTACAATTCTCCAGAGAGTCTACAAATTCTGACATCTAACTAAAGTTTCCCAAACTGCTGCAGTCTACCTCAGTTATCTTAAAAGAATTCCAATCCATTAATGGGAATGGACAAGCTGAAATGAGACAAATCAAATACAATTTTTATCCTCAAGTGAAGTTTAGGTACCAGAAACCTATTATACCATCAACTCTATCCCATGCAAATGATAAAAGAACTGACAAGAGATTTTTCTTGTTCCCTATGCTACATAACCAAAAAGAGACAAAAGTTACTTACATAATTCTTGACTTCCCGTCGAGCATTAGCATCAATTGCAAGCCACCTCTGCTGATATTGTGCCTTGATATCTGGATCTTTAGATGTCAAAGAGTTCTTGATTTGTAGACCTGCTGCAACTCTGGCAACTTGACTGTTTCCTGGATTTGCTAGCACTCTGGACAGTTCCACAAGGAAAGTGGGCTGTTAAGAAAGATGCATTGGTGAATGAATATATCTCTTGGGAATTCTGTCAATTGAGGATGGCTTATGAAGCATCAAAACACTGGGGGAAACTTAAATTTTTTAGGACATATCATCATGCCTCAGAAAACTCCAAAATATCTACTTCAAGACTCCTGTAAAAATGTTACATTAAGGAAGTCATCCATCTACTCACGCAGCCTCAGCATTTAACAAGTTACAGATTTTCCTATTAACATCATTCTTAGTGCCCTAATCTTCACATTAGATCCCCCAGAATTAAAGCAAGTTTGACAATTTCGTAGCCAGAAAAAAAATTTTTTTAATGTACCGACAACAGTGCCTGTTACTCAATACTTATTTGTTGAATATATGAATATGTTATGACAGGGTAAAAAGTACAAAAATTTTCTAACTTTAAAAAAAAACCCACCACCTTAGTCCAAATGGAATGACACTTACGAGTGGCTTTTGATCTCATAGAAGCAGGTAATCTTGTATGAGTGTGCATTACTTATAAACCTAAAACAGGCTTAGGAAACAAGCCCTCTATTTTAGTTGTGAGTGTTCGTCAAGTGGGGAACAATGATGGGGGGGGAAAGGACAAATACTTAGAAATTGTCATGGTAAATCTGTCAAAGCAAATGACTTTATATTTAATAGCCAACAGTTAACACACTAAAGGCTCCTATACACTTTGAACTTGAGCTGTCCACTAAACATAGTGGAGTCCCAAAAAGCACAATCTTTTCTAACACAGAACGCCAAAACTACTCCCTTTGTTTTTTAAAAAATGTAACACACAGTCCTTTACCCTGCAAAAAGCTCTGTCCAAAAGCTTTTCTTTCCCTGAAAAGTTAACAGGAAAAACCAAAAGCAGAGCGTTTCTTACCACCAACAAGTTCTGCAATCACAGAAGACAACTCCTTAAATTATTTTATTAACTACATGCAACTAGATAATGCTAGGAATTACATAAGAGGCTTCTTGCAAATTAGCAAAAGCAGGAACAGGAATATACACCGCATGGAAATACTATCAATCTATACCAGTGGAAAAAAATCTTTTCTATGGAAAGTTAAGGATAAAAAAGTAGTAATGAAACCTATGACATATAAGGGCAAAAAAAAAAAATCACTCAAGAGCAGTTTGTATAAAACAGGCCTTTTCACTATTTTCTCCTTACATGATTTGTCTAATCCAAATAAATACATTTGGTTAGTGTTATTTAGACTTATTACCTATTTCCTTTCAAAGATGTCAAATATGAGACACCTTCCCCTTTGCTCTCCATTCCAACAGGAGAGGGACACCACAGAGAAACACGACCGGCACGGGCTATTTCAACCAATCCAACCCACGTTTTTATGCAGAAGTCCAGACTCTAGGGGACTTATCTTCATTTTTCCTGTACCCCTTAAATGTGAAGTTATGAAAAACGAGGAACTTTCCTCTGATTTCATCTGCAAACAGGCCCCATCTTATGGGTGAGCCTCAGCCTGCTGTCTGGATACACATTCTGTACTCATCGAATTAATTTAAAAAAAACAAAACAAAACTGGGAAAGGAATAATCAGGCAGGTAAGGCAGAAATATTGCCCGGAAAGGGTCAAGAGGCATTCGGGTGCCAGACCGGTCTCTGAGGACACACACCACGGGAGAGAGGAAAGGGGAGAGAGCTCGGAGAAGTAGGTGCAGAGAAGCACCGGGGCCACGGGGCAGGAGGAAGCCGGCCCGGGTCAGAACTGGGCGGGCAGCTGGGCCCGGAGCCTCCACATGGCCCCTAGGCC